TTTAATTATTTAATTGTTCCTTCCTCTCTTCCTTGGCATGTTGTGAAATTTCTGATAGTCGGATAATAAACCGTTTTATTGTAATTTGTCTTTTTAAATTATTTTGAGTCGATATTAAAATTTGAAAAAAGGGGGATACCTAGATCGGTAAAATACGCGAATTTCTTCCTACAACTTCGGTCATTGTTCGGGGTACAGTTAAGGTTTTAACGAAGTTCGAGCGAATACATAATTAGCAAAAAAAAGTTGAAATAAAGTGATTAAACAAAAATTATTACAAATATCGTAAATAACAGTTCACAAATGCATATATAGAGATATATTTTTGAAGGGGGAAATGGTCTTCACAATTTGAAATCGTTCGAACACACTGTACTCGAATGCTCGTGTAAACGCGCGCCATCTGTCGTAGGATAAATGCCAAAAACCTTCGCGAGAGTGTATTAAAAAAACTTTCCAAAGTTTCGTGGCAATCGTACTATGCCACAAACCTTCGCTGGAGTATATTAAACAACTTCCCAAAGTTTCACGGCAATCGGATAAACGGTGTGGTAATGCATGAAGGACACACACACACACACACACACACACACACACACACATTCATTTTTATATATATAGATAAAACGTCAAAAGGCTTAATTTTGGGGATAGAGATGAATTTTATAAAAAATGATAACGACGATTTTACTCGTTATTAGCAATTAAGCCCGACCATACTAGAGATATGACAAGTGAGCTCCTCTATCTTTCCTCTTCTCGAACCATCAAAATTTAATAGCATCAATCGCCTTATATAGAAGCTACTTCAAAGCTAGATTTCGTTTCTTAATTATTATTTCATCCTAAGATATTAAATGAAATAGACTCCAACTTACGAGAGATTTGCAGAAAACTCTGAGAATAAAATTTGACACGATTCCAATACTTTCCTTCGTTACGTACACATAACAGCAATAAAAAGCCAAGGACTTTAAACTACATCATCGATTCATCGTGATATATTTCGAAATATTTATTCCATTCTATAATTTTTGCTAGCCATTCATCAGTAGGTTTAATAAGCCCTCCATAATATAAACGCTGCACCCATGACGGAATGCTATAGTTGTGATGATTTTTAATTTTGTTAGTGGAATTAATTAAGTTTGGGTATTTTTCTTTATATTTATAGGCAAAATATCCTGCTATATACTCGAGAGTATCGTAGGAAGTTTCTTCAGAGATTGTGTTAAAGTCTAGATTGCGTGTAGAGTTTCCCGAAGATTTATTTGAAGAAAAAGTAGTTTTACATTCAGNCGAATGAAGGATTCTTTGCGTTTTTGCAATAATTTCTTTGAACTGTGTATACTTCATGCTGTCATTATAGGTCTACATTATATTTACGGTAAGTTGGCACCTACTGTAAACAAAGACACACCCCCTTTGTTTATTGGTTTAAGCATGATAGAAAACACCTTTAGATTTTCACGAGATTTAAAAAAAAAACGTGTAAATTTATTACCAACCTAAATAGCAGTAACTACAACTACTGCACCATTGAAAACATCAAATATTTTATTTAAATAATCACTGTAACATAGCTTTTTTTTTAATATTTCAATGTTAAAGTCGTCAGCTTCGTATTTGCATGCCTTGCTGCTGTTGAATTTTTTTGCCTTTCGTTTCGAAGGAAGAAAAATTTTAGCCGGTTTTCTTTCTTAGTTTCAGTTCATACTTAACTTTCAGGATATATTCTTTTCTTTCCTAAGTTATATCTAAATTCCTTAAATTTTAGTAGGAATTCCTAAACTTGGCAATCTTGACTAAGTTTCCTTCAATCAACACTTATTAAAGACCGGCTGAACTAGTGATGAGCTCACTAGGAGATTGAAGGGACACTTTACGAGTGCCTAATGCTGAGCATAATGGCCACCTTGTCGACTATTTTTATTGCTATTTCGACTTCTTTAGATGAAAAGATGGTTGGTTCATCGATGTATTTGCGAGGTGGCCAAGTTCCGCCGGGTCTGGCGCATAGCTATACGGATCCCTCGAAATAGTTGACACTTATTCCAAGAGATATACACCTAGGCGACTTTGCCTACCCACTCACAACTACCCTTTGATACTATTTAATTGTTTATTGAAGTGTTTTTGCTTATCAATTAAGCTTAGTACGTGTAAGTATCGAGCAAGTATACGGACATTTGAACTATTTCGGAGAATTAGATTTAATATGTAAAACAATTTCAAATATGTGCCTCTGATCAGAGTTGTCACCTACTCTAGGTAAACAAAGAGGTCAGGACACGTGTGACGTCACTAACTTGCCATTCCTGGCTAACATTGTAGAATAGGGATCTGGCTATGCTTGTAGTATATTGTCCTTGATAAAAAGCGCATTTGGAAAGAATAACTTCAAAGATATTTTTAAATACGATATAGTTCGACTGAACCACATCAGATCAAAAGATGTTGAGATTTTTAATAAAGTGTAGCCTAACTCAACATCCGCGTAACATAGAAATTTCCGGGTTGGAAAATCAGATAGAGCATCAAAAACTACTACTAATAGAGGCCTGACTAGAATGCCGGATAAATATTTTTTTGTTATAGTCTTGTTCTGAGTCGAATAAAAAAATATTTCATCGAGATTGGCTACGTAGAAATCGAGAAAAGTGACATCGAAGGTTTTCTTAGAAGCGAGAGATATACGGATGAAACAACGAGTATTCGCATTTTTCACCGGATGGTGTTTAAAGACAAAACTATTCTATCTGGGTCGTTTGATTCATTCTTGTGTATTATCAGCAGTAAAGATGAATAGCAATAGAAAAACAAAGCTTTATGTTGCTTTCCAAATTGCAATTTTAAAGCCTCGCGGGAGCCTAATATACGTTTTCGTCTATTCCCACATGAAAAACAGATGATTATTCGAAAATCGGTCGGTTATATAAGCTTCTCCGAATTCTGAAAGAATGGATTAGACTCTTAAGAATTGGCAGTTTCCCGATTGTCCAGCTTTACACGAACAAATTATGCTGTCAATTTTGAAACATATTTTCTTAAAGTTTAAAATGCCAGTAATTTTGTGTGGGACACAGGGTCGAATTTAAGCGTTTTGAAGCCCTAAGCTGAAATCTGTAAGGCCCCTTACCAACCCTTCACAATTTTAGAAGTCAATCGTAAAAAGAAAAGAATTAAATCAGACTATGTCTGTGATTTAATACGGATATTGGAGGAAAAAGATGCGAGGTTTCGCTAGTCTTCTGTTATATAACTGAATTTAATTAAATTTTTACACATATTCCATTAAAAACCTTTTTTTAAATTGGTTTTATCAACTTTTTAAAAAAGATCTTGTTAATTCTTAGAAAAAAAATTAATGAAATACTACACAAAATAAAAAGTAAAGTATATTTTGTTGGTTTGTAAAAAAATGTTTATTACAAAATTTGACTTCAATTTTCTTTTTTGTACAAATATTTCAGGCCCTAAGCAACAACTTACATAGCTTTTTANAATACTACACAAAATAAAAAGTAAAGTATATTTTGTTGGTTTGTAAAAAAATGTTTATTACAAAATTTGACTTCAATTTTCTTTTTTGTACAAATATTTCAGGCCCTAAGCAACAACTTACATAGCTTTTTACTTGTAAATCCGGCCCTGATAGGACAATGTCAAAGCTGATGTTTTTTAACACAAAGGGCACAAATACCGTATTTACTCGCATATAAGTCGAGGTTTTTATTCATTTTTCACTGCTTCAAAAAAATCTTGGTCGTCCTATACGCGCGAATGAAGGATTCTTTGCGTTTTTGCAATAATTTCTTTGAACTGTGTATACTTCATGCTGTCATTATAGGTCTACATTATATTTACGGTAAGTTGGCACCTACTGTAAACAAAGACACACCCCCTTTGTTTATTGGTTTAAGCATGATAGAAAACACCTTTAGATTTTCACGAGATTTAAAAAAAAAACGTGTAAATTTATTACCAACCTAAATAGCAGTAACTACAACTACTGCACCATTGAAAACATCAAATATTTTATTTAAATAATCACTGTAACATAGCTTTTTTTTTAATATTTCAATGTTAAAGTCGTCAGCTTCGTATTTGCATGCCTTGCTGCTGTTGAATTTTTTTGCCTTTCGTTTCGAAGGAAGAAAAATTTTAGCCGGTTTTCTTTCTTAGTTTCAGTTCATACTTAACTTTCAGGATATATTCTTTTCTTTCCTAAGTTATATCTAAATTCCTTAAATTTTAGTAGGAATTCCTAAACTTGGCAATCTTGACTGTTTCCTTCAATCAACACTTATTAAAGACCGGCTGAACTAGTGATGAGCTCACTAGGAGATTGAAGGGACACTTTACGAGTGCCTAATGCTGAGCATAATGGCCACCTTGTCGACTATTTTTATTGCTATTTCGACTTCTTTAGATGAAAAGATGGTTGGTTCATCGATGTATTTGCGAGGTGGCCAAGTTCCGCCGGGTCTGGCGCATAGCTATACGGATCCCTCGAAATAGTTGACACTTATTCCAAGAGATATACACCTAGGCGACTTTGCCTACCCACTCACAACTACCCTTTGATACTATTTAATTGTTTATTGAAGTGTTTTTGCTTATCAATTAAGCTTAGTACGTGTAAGTATCGAGCAAGTATACGGACATTTGAACTATTTCGGAGAATTAGATTTAATATGTAAAACAATTTCAAATATGTGCCTCTGATCAGAGTTGTCAGCTGCATTTTACACAATAATTGCGTTTGTAATGACGAAAGTTCCGATTCGGAGAGATGCAACAGGAATGTGCTGATGAAAATTGTTAGAATGAACCACTAGATGAAAGGAGAGTTGTTGTGGAAGAAAAGGGACAAATACTGTAGCCGATAAACTATTTTATTAAAGCGAGTAACGTACGAAGAGTTCAAGTAAGTAAATACTATCCGTTAATTTTCTAAAAAATTAGTATAATTTTCGAGCCGCTAGAGGTCGCGGCAGCGCGACGCCAAGAAGAAAATGGAGTTTTCGAAGAAAGATTTGATTAGAGAGGTTCAATGTCGTCCTGTTCTTTGGGATCGGAAAAACAAGGCTCACAAAAATTCCAGAATAATAAATACTTCTTGGGATGAAGTGGCTGCCGCTCTCTCTTCCGATCGTAAGCTTTGCTTTCTTCATTTTTTGTAAACATTGCAACTTCTCCAACGCGACAGAAAAATATTAAAACATCGTTTTGTTTTAATACACAGTGTATGGAACAACTGTTATTGCCATTCCTAATTCGTAAATATTCTTTGCAATTTAATTTTCTTTTTAACGCAGCGATTACAAAAACTGACAAGTGCAGTTGTGACGTTTTGCTCTTTACATTGTCAACACGTTGTTTAAATATTTGGTGCATTTGTTTTGTCAATTTGATTTCATTTCATACTTTCTTATTATAAAAATGTAGGAGTGATGGCACACGGGGCCATTTGGCTGGAGCCTCGTAAACAACACAAATTAGTCATTCCAATGTATTGTTTGGTACTATACCGTTAACTAGGTGACAGTCATTTTTACTACAATTCACACTTGTTTAAAATTACGATGAAATAATGAACAATTAGCAAAGGAATAAATGCACGAGTATTTTTATGCTTTGAGTATGACGTCGAGTTTCGGAGTATACAAAGTTCATACCTGTGGTTTACTCACAAATGTTTGTATTTGTCTTCTTCTAACTCGACAGTTTCGTATGATTTCCAACGGTCTGAAAATATTATACTACCTTCTTTCACATTATTTTGTATTGCCTCGGTTGATGTTTTAGCCGAACGGTCTAGCAAGATGACTTAAAGATGCTCTTTTGACTCGCGGCAATTTCCGCCGAATACCCACTGCTGCATTAGAACGCGTCCGACATTTTGTTTTCTACGTGTGAATCGACGCCTTGATGACTCTTGTTTGCACCACCTAATTTCAGAATGATTACAGATATTAAAGAAGTGGTACAAACATAACGCACATATTTATTACAATTGACAAACTTGCTGGGATTAAATCCTAGCTCACCGTATAAGATTCCAACTTCTATGAAAAAAAAAAAACACAATTTCTTCTTTGGTTGACAAATGCCATATTCTAAAATCCATTTTAATTCAAAGAATAACAAACTGCTCAAAAGGAATAATTATGGCTAAATTTGAAAAAAACATTATGGAATGTATGATGTGCATCATTTTTATTGAGAAACATAATTTACGTAACCATGTGGTATTGAATGATGTAATTATGATACCTGGTACTAAGCAAAGTAGGTTAAAAGTAATTTTAAAAATGCAATTTTAACTTTTAATATTATTCTAATTTCAAATTTACAACCAAATAACATAAAATAACAAGTTTTATGTAAAATATTCAACTAGAAGTAGGAATTTAATCTTTTTAATTATATCAATGCGAAATTATGCTAATCATTTTCGAAAGAAACGTGTATGTACAGGTATACCTCGCCTTATGTCGGTAATTGGTTCCAGGAAAGCGACGTAAGTCGAATTTACTTGTCTCCGAATCTACTTGTTACTAGGCTAAACCATAAATTACCATTCCCGGTTCTGTATTTTATTTATTAATGCATTTTTAATAATATATGGTTAATAAGGATCTATTTTAAGCTTACAAACAAATAAATTTTTGTTTTTAATATAGTACAGAAAAAAGTAATCTAAATTTACGAATGCATGTACTGTAAATACAGTACATACTTGTAAATGTATATATTTTAATATGATTTTATGTGCTTTAAACGCTTTTCTAGTGATATTACGACTTCAATATTTGTGGCGGACAGATGTAAAGTCGAATAAAATGACTTAAACTTGATTTTTATTTTTCCATATACTTTTTTGACAAACGACGTATAATCGGGAACGACGTAAGTCGAGGTATACCTGTACAATCCTTGTTTAACATCATATTCGCCTTTTATAACTTTTATACAAACTTAAAGGAAATGGTAAGTTTTCATTCAATTAGTCTTTACGTATGATTAAATGTAAAAGAAAGAAATATTAAGATGTTTATGCGAATCAGATTTTGTTGATTGAATGGCACCCAGTTAACAGAATAGTACCTATTTTTTTGTTTATTTATTAAAAAGAAGACTTTTATTTTGTCAAATTTTACTAATTAAAACATATAATGCACTTTTTTTATACTATTATTTTGTTGTTTTGAATTTATTGATGTCCTCATAAAGGCCTTTAATGTCGAGAAATGTCTAGGCTTTTTTTGACATTAAAGTACCAATATCCAATTGACTTTGTGTAAACTTTTGTTGCAAAAGTTTACACTCTTGCAACAAAATACACCTATTATAAAGATATTATCTTTTGTATATTTTTGTTAGTGATTTATGTAATAAATAAATTTGTATTTGATGCATCAATCATAATTTTCCTATTACAGTTACTTTAATAAATAAAACAGCATAATTACTTTTAAATAAATTTTCAAACTTTCTCTGAGCACTATTATTTATTTTAATATAATCTTTTTCAAACTTTCTTTAAATGCATAATTAACACTCCTAATGTAAATTATTTTAGCATATTTGTTGCCAACAAAGTATTTTTCATTTATTTTCTATTAGAACACACCAGGGGCGTGCCGTGACATTTGATGATAGGGAAGTTGTGTTTCTATAAAAAGCCGACATCCAGGGGCAATCAGTTAATTCTTTCTTTAAATGTATTTTTAATCGATTATTTATCTGACGTACTTAATAAACAAGTTCATTATAATTACTTCTGTTAGTAGATCCAATATATTCCATATGCCCTCTAAATGCCAATTCTTGCTTTGATAAAAACATATAACATCTATTTATTTAGATATAATATATCTATTACCCATAATTATCTCGTTACAATTTTCAATATTTATTTTATATTATTTACTAATGTTAAATTCTATTCCGCTTCGATTTCCAAATTGCTTCAAATACGAAAGAATCGACGATTTTTCGTGTCTTTTGCCAGCTAAATTGTCAAAGACATTCTTATTCCACACACTAATTTCACTCTGTAAATGCATTTTTATGCATTTACAGAGCCATTTTATCGTGAAAATATCGAACAAATTTTTTTATTGAAGCGTTTATATTTAACTTAGGCATTGGCCGTTCTCTTTTAATAATGTTTTCTTTTTCATTATATGATCTCGAGCCAAAACTTTTTTAAAATAAATTTTCAATATTGTGATTACATTCCGAATCGCTAGCCACGATATAAGGGCTAAAATTAAAACTAAAATTATAAAAACTTACTTGGTGAAATAAAATGTGTGGTGTATATACATACCTGGTACAAAACCTTCTTCAATTGTATGAATATACTTTTAAAGAAAATTATAATTAAATATGGCTTTGTAATGAAACGTACATGTAAATAACATTAAATATTCTTTACTCTTTAAATCTTAACCACTTAGTCAAATAGCTCCCTACGAGTGGAATCAGAGACGGTCCTGCTAGGTGTGTGGTGTGTACTGTACATGCACGCGGGCTGCCAAATCCCGAGGGTGCCGATACCCTCGGGATTTGGCAATGTCAAATGTTTCTTTTGTCGCATCACTAATATACCTCAAAAGACGCGACAGGGTTCTTGTAAATTTTAAACGTTTCTCACCATAGCTGTAAAAGTCTAAATATGTTAAACTTAATAGATTGTCCGTCGTTTGTTTTCTAACTAATTCGTTTTAGGACCAGGTGTTGTCCACGGAAATTTCCAAAATTTACAACTTTTCGGTCACTCTCGTCGAACTGGAAAAATTTCTGTCTTTATTACATCTAATACAGTATTTCGAAGAAATCAGTCCCCACTGTACTCGGCTATAGATTGGTTCGGTTAAGCTTTTGTTTAAGTAATATTCCGGCTCTTTCGTCAGGGTTTTGTTTACGTCCCCAATTCCCTAATCGCTTAATTATTTAACTACTTCTTAAGTAGAAATAAGTCGAAACCAGTTACTTTGTACTCGAATATTTGTAGTCTCGGGAAAAAGTGGAAAGACAAATTTTTATGACAAACGGATACATAAATCGTAAATTTAAGGAAAATAAATTCTAGAGCTTTTTCTGTACCTCGTGCATCTCTCTCATTCATTAAATTTAGTTGTAAATGATGCTGTCAAAGTAACAGTTAATTTTTTAACATTATACAAGAATTGTACACGTTTTTTTCTACATCCCCTTAAAGATGGGATGTACGAAATCGTAATATCACTGGTTTAACATCGAAATCCGTGAGTAATATAAAATCGGAGAGCGGAATAAATATATCAAATATTTTAATGGATTTTTTAAACCCGTCAACTATACAGAACTATCGTAAAAACATACCAGTAAATTCTTATCGGTTGGGTTAAGTTATAAATCTACTCGTTATTCACGTAATCGAAATATCTAGTGGGCAGGCGGCTAACAGCCCAGAACCGGTCCTTGATAGAATTGGAATCTTTATATGTGTGCAGCTTTCACCCAAGGTCGTAGGCTTCCACCGGCTAAACCGGGTGAGGTTGGTGCTCTGTAAAGCGCATGCGCAAATCTGGCTTTTCGTAATCTGAAAATACAGGAGATTACACTCCGCCACTAATATTCTAATATACAATAGCAATTTTTTTTTCCACGTGTAGTATAGAAATTTGTAATAAGATACATAATGCGGTTATAATAAAATATTGTGCAATTATTTTCATATAATTAAAATTAATATTTATTTATTTTTTAGAGAATACGAGGGAAGTGGCGCTTCCAACGCTTCTAATGACGGCACGCCACTGGAACACACACATATATATACTGTATATAATTTTGCTTGTAATTATTTTGGAAGTTGCCCATACTAGTAGTTTAAAAACTGTAGGTATGTTTCCTTAGTGGAGTGCAAGATCCTCTTTGGGAAAATGAAGAAATGATCAATATCATTGCTTATTTTCAAGTATAACTCCTGAAATTACTTAGTCCACTGTATTATTGAAAACATTTACAACTTCCATGTTTATTTCATTAACATTATCACATTGTAAATTATCATTATGATATGACTACAGCAGTGGTTTCCAATCAGTAGGCTGTGAGATGAATAAAAAATTGGTGACAAATTTTAAAATTTGTAGAAA